GGGGGGGGAGGATAAAACGAATAGAAACTTCTTGGAAGGCAGCGAGGGAGAGTGGCCGGAGCCAGCAGGATTGACGGCTGGTGGGGGATAGGATCAGGTCATCTGGTGACCTTGGACCGCGAAGGCGTGGAAGGGCCCGCTGCTTACGTGCGACGGGAATCTGTGTGTGTGTGGGAAGGGAACAGGGTTTCCAACTAAGCAATCTCGGCTTTCCGAGTAGAAGAGAAGGCACCGACTGTTGGCCCTCCTTTTTAGGGGGCTTCAAACCAATGACCTCCTCACCTCCCAGAGAATCTTCCCGGTAGCGGGGGACCACGGAGAGCGAGACTGGAGATCTCGAGGCTTAGTGGAACGCGGGGGAGGGGGGGGTCCTTCTTTTCTAATAAAGAAAGAAAGGGGGAGAATGTGTCTGATGATTTCCTTTCTCTAAAAAGCTATTAAAGACAGAGTGGGCGCCCTGAGGATTCGGGGCCCGTTGAGTTCGCGTGGCTTTCTCCGGGTGAAATCAACTCCAAGTCCACGTTGTCGCTCTAGGGAGAGAGGGAGGACGGGAGAGAACTATCCTGGTGCGAAAGCTCGGCGTTCGGCTTCCGAGGCGTCTGTCTGCCCCACGCCTCGCGAGGGCGCCTGTCCTTTCCATTGTGTTCACAAGCCGCTCTTCTCTGACCCCCTGAGTGAGTCACCAAAGCTGCTGCCAAAGCAGAGGCCCGTGGATCCTCAGACTTGGCCACCGACCCTTGACCCTCTCTAGGACTGGCGTCGTGGGGCCCAAGGCCTGTGTCCTCGGGCGTAGTTGCCTCCTGGTCAATTCTCTCCACAAAGTGTTGTGTTTTTCTCACGTGCCCGAGTCCAGGGAATCCCGGAGGAGTCGTGGTACTTTGCACTACGGCTGCTGGCCAGGGTCCCCGGTTGTTAGCTGGGGGATGCTGGGAAAGGTCCGGATCGGAGCGCTGTGGCGAGCAACCCAGGCCTCGGCTCATCTCCTGCTGGCCTTCCCCGCTCCCACGAGCTAGCTGACAAAAGTAAAGACTCCGGGAACCGAAAGACTCCGTGGTTCCGTCTGCCCCGCGGGTAAGGCAGCTCCGCAGCTCTCGCTCCAGCCGCGCTGGGACCGGTTCTTTGTTTAAATCCACACCAAATCCTGCAAAGGTTTTGCTTCGAGCCAGCAGGCTGGAGTTGCAGAACTTTTCTACTACGGATGAGCAATTGAAAACGTAAAGGTTCTTAAAAACAAGGGTTTAAAACACGCATGGAACCTCCAAGGAATAAACGGATTAAAACGCCCGAATTAAACTGATTTTTTTTTGGTAATGCACTGACTTCAAATGCTACTGTTCAAACTCCATTAAATCCCGCAGCTCCGGAGTACTTTGAAGCTAATGGTGGTATTTACATTTTTTTATGTAAACACACCCACTTCAGATGCAGACGCGGATCTGATTGGTCTTTCCTTAACGCTGTCCCTCCCTAGACGGCAATTTGCTTTGTAATGACTTTCATCTCGCAAAAGAGCCCATTACCCCCTCTCCCGGCTCTGGTTGGAGAGAACAAAAGAGCTCAGGGAGGTAATAATTACAGTCATTAGTTCACAAAGGAGGCAGCCACCGAATGGGAAGGGAAGGCGGCCAGCACCGGGAAAAGCTTTCCGAGGCCCTTCCTCGACTAAGGGGAGACCCAGGCTCCAGGGCAGCCCGCGGGGACGGTTTCCTTGGGTAATCTATTTCTGATGCCTAGTTTACCCCAGAAGCGGGCCGCAGACCCACCCAAAGAAGAGTGTCTGTTACCAGTTATCTGTGTGTTCCTCTAGCACTTAAAAGGAAGGACACAGAGAGATGATGGAAAAGAGAAAGGAAAAGGAGAGGAAACAAAGAAATACAAAAGAAAAAAGAAAACAAAAACGTCGCAACCGCTCCCCAAGAGTTTTCCGTTCTCTTTTCTCGTCTCACTTTAAAAACGGGCGGGGGAAGTTTTAGGGAGGGGGTCCGTTGCCTTCCCAGTCAGCAGCAGAAGGGCCCGACTGCCAGAGTGCTGGTGTTCAGGGGCCGCCACAGAAGCCCAGATGGAAGGGCCTGGACGCCAAAGGGAGCTTGGCTCCCCCCACCCCCGCCCCCCGGGCCGCGCGGGCAGTGGGCGAACAGGTGGGCGGTGTGGAGGGGACGGGCCACCTCGGGTTACGGATGTTCCTGTCCCTCCCAGCCTTGGTGCAGGGACTAGGCCGAGCCGCTCCACTCTTCCGCACAGCCGGGGGGCGACTCCTCATTTTCTGCCCCAACCCGCGGAAAAAGCAGGGCCTAGAGCGCGCTTGGATTCGGGCTGGGCCCTGCCACAGCTGGGGGTTTCCCCTCGGTCAGATCCCATATACAAAATTTAGAGGTTGCACGCAAGAGTCTTCTCTGGGGACCTTTCTGCGTCTACTTTTTGGGCTGGAAAGAATCTCACGTCCCGTGGACCAGAGTCGCAACAAACGTTACACGCCCTGGCTGGTTGCAGATCTCCCTAGAGCCTTCTGACTCACGCCCGTGGGTGCAGGAGCCCAGGGCACCCTCGCAGGGATAAACCCTGTCCCGCCAGAACCTTTGTTCCGATTCCACTGCCTAGCTAGGGAGCCACCTCGTCTCCGGTCCTCACTCTCTCCAGGCCTCGTAGAGGCGGAGTGTCTGTGTCTGTGTCAGTTCCATGGGAGGGCTTAAACTTTTTTAAAAAAATAAGGTGTCAGTGCACTAGTGAACTCAAATTTCTGCCTCCCCAACCCCAAACTTAAAGACACCCATATTCGGAGCAGCCAAGATTATCCCAAATCTGCAGACAAGGAGAACCTAGAATCTGACAGTTCAGCTCAGCCATGAGACCAGAATTTTCAGAGTTGGGGCCAAGGGAAGCCACACAGACTGGGAAGGTATGTCCGCGCGCGATGTGTTGGGGTTTGGAGATTTGTCTGGAGATCACGCTCGTGTGGCAAATACGGGGGTTTTGGCTTAGACTGTGCTCGTCTGAGGAGGCTGGGTGGTGCTGATGGAGACAGAGAGTACCTTCATGACCCTCCCTGGGCGCCGCCACCAGCACAGACATAGCAGAAGCCAGACCCAAAGGGGAGCATGGCGGACCAGTCAGCAAACCACGGGCTTGCCAAGGTACTTCCTTTATTAGTAATCTAACAGCCAAGGGAAGTTGGAGATGAAGTTCATTTTCAAAACTCTCCCCCACCTGCACTGGGCTTTGTTTTTTAAGACTCAGCCCGCCCGCGGGTGTCCCGTGGGTTTGCGAAAGCCGTTTTCAGGAAAGAAGACATTCTTGAATTCACCCCAAATGGAGAGGGGTTGGCAAGAATTCAGGCGCAGTCGGGTTCACAAAAGGAGTCGCAAACAAGTGAACAAAGAGATACAGCAGGGAACGAAGGACAGAGATGTCCCAGCTCGCGGGTTGGGGAGAGTGAAGGGTGCCGGGATGAGGAGAGATGGCGTCGGGGGTGGGGGGGAGTGTTTCCCAAGGGCTCCAGTTGTCTTCTTTTTCAGGATCACTGAAGGTGGACCCTACCCCCGTGGAGATCCGGGCCGCGGCTTCAGGGCCTGGTGATGCCAGCGCCCGAGGGCGCCTGCTCTGACCTTTGCGGCTCCGCAGGCGCGAGTGCCTTCCGACGGCGGTGGCCGCCCAGCGGCCGGACTACAACTGCTGGACCAGGCGTCGGCGCTGGGAGGTTTTGCGCAGGAGCTTCCGGTAGTCGTAGGGGCTGGCTGCAGGCCCGCTCTCCTCCTTCTCCTCGGGGCCCTCCGCCGCCCAGCACCTGCGGGCGACACCCAGGGTCCGAGAGTCAAGGGCGCCACAGTGCAGCGCATCCCGCCCATCCGAGGTAGGCGAGTCTCCTTCCTCACGCTCCCACCATTTAAGAAAGGCACAATCAAAACGATGGGACAATGACCCAACATAGCTGCGATAATTCTGGCAGCAGGTTTTCAAAACGCCTCTGAGCTAAGGAGCCGAGGTGGAGCCCAGCAGAGGTGGGACTTTGTGCCTGGATGAGTGCTAGATAAAGAAGTTGTGGTTCAGAAGGTGAGTTCCATTTGCACTGAAGTAATTCATAACCAATAAGCAATTACTTATTTTAGTACCTCAGTTTTTGACAATGTGGGCAAACAGGAAAACTCAAAGTGCCTAAATGGACACCTATCATTTTGCATTGTAAAACTGCTCAAATGTTTCTAAAAAAAAAAAAAAAATTCTCCAAATCTGACCTACCTCTCTGTTAGCAACACAGGTGCTGTAGTCCCTGCTAGCTTTTTCAGTGTTTCATTATTTCCAGGAGGCTGAATCCACTGCTAAGAACCCCTGCCAGTGTTTACCTGTAGATTCTGCAGCTTGCCTGGGGGAGCCGGAGGCTTCTTAAAATGCACCTAATGCAGCTACTTAGATTCATTCATGCATTCATGGAGCACCTACTAAGAACTAGCTACCAGGAGAGGTGATGAGTGAGGGAAAGTGCCCGTGTTCGTGGAGTTTATAGTCTGGTGGGGGAGAAGCCCACACACAAATTTACAGCACCAGGTGATGAGAGGTACACAGGAAGTAAAGCAGGGTGATGGGGAAAGAGCAGGGGTGTATGTGTGTGTGTGTGTGTGTATGCACATGTGTGTGTGTGCACTTGGTGTGTGTGTGTCCAAATGAGCTATTTCATAGAGGGGGTCCAGGAAAGCTCTCTGATAAAGTGATCTTTGAAGAGAGTCCTAAATGGAGAGTGAGCCATGCAGATCTCTGGGGGAATGGCAGCCATTCTAGGGTGATCGGTCAACCATTACAAAGGTTCCAGGACTAGAGTATACTTACAATGTTCAAAGAACAGCATGGAAGCTCTTATGGCTTAAATGGAGTAAGCAAGGGTGGTGGTGGGGGGGTAGCAAGAGATGAGAGCAGGAGTAGAGTGTGGCAGATAACTTAGCCCTTCGAGACCATGGCAAGGACTTGAATATGACAAAGAAAAACATTGACACGGTCTGTGTGAAGGAATGACTCATAAAGATACGACTGCCAGAGGCCTGTTAAGAGATACTGTAATAGTCTATGCAAGACTATTTTGGCTTAGACTAGGCTTGTGGAGAAAAATGGGAGACCTCAGAGAGGAGACCTGGCCAGAGTCTGGTCATACTTGGAAGGCAAAACTAAAGATTTGCCGACGGATTGGATGTGGAGTGTGAAAGAGAAAAATCAAGAACATCTCCAAGGTTTTTGGATTAAACAACTGAAAGATGGAGTTACCATTTAATGAGATGGGGAAGGCAGCCAAGGAGCATGGTTTTGGGGTGGTGGGATAAAGATTTTAGCTTTGCTTATGCTAAGCTTAAGATATTTATTAGATATTCAAAAGGGGATATTGAGTAGGCAGCTGGATATATAAGTCATGATCTAGGCTAGAGATTTCAGTTTGGGGATTGTAAATATACAGATAATATTTAAGGTTGTGAAAGTGCAAAGGACTGGGACACTCCACTATGGAGAGGTTGGTGACACAAGGAAAGGGCAGCAAGGAGAATGGGAAGGAGCAGCCAATGAGAATTACTGTCCTGATGGCCAATAAAGAAAATGTTTAAAGAAGAATAAAATGAGTAATTAAAGATATTAAATGCTGCTATTAGGGAGAAATAAGGATTGAAAATAGATGATGGGATGTGACAAAATGGAGGTTATTGTTGACCCTGGCAGGGGCAGTTTCAGTGGAGTGATGGGAAAAGAAGTTTGAGTAAAGAGGCTCAAAAGAGAATAGGAAGAGAGGAATAGAAGAGGTAGTATCATTACTTTCATGTAGTGTTCATTTGTCATACTGAAGAGCAGAAAAATGCGTGGTCTTAAAGAGGGATTGGGTTAAGGGTACTTTTTTATGGTGGCTTTGATTGTTTCATGTTCATGAATTGCTAGAAATGATACAGTAAAGATAACAAGCATTCAAGATGCATAAGAGAGAGAGATGACAATTGCAGGACAATGCTTTTGGGCAGATAGAAGGACTTGGATTTAGTGTACAAAGAGAAAGTTCAGCCTTAGCTAGGAGAACAGAAAAGTCATTTGTAGTATCCTGAGGGAAGAATACAGGTAAGTGGTAGAAAGGTTGATAGATTTAGCATGTCTGTTATCTGCTACCTTGTTAAAATAATGTTGTCAGCTGAGTTGAGGACGTTTTGAGGGTTTGGGGAGACCAGAAGAAGCCTGAAAGAGTGGGCTGGGAAATGGGATAATGGATTTCTAGGAAAACATAGAATTACAAAATAACCCCATGAGCCTTGTGCTATTCTCTAGCCATGTTCAGCTATATGGGCACAGTTACAGATTGGGTAGAAAGCTGGTTTTACGCAGGATAGGAATTTGCCAGTTGCATATAGTTGGGGGAAAGAGGAACAAGGTCATTGAAGATATATGCAAATGAGTGAAAATAATGAAAAGAGAGGGCTGGAAGACTTGGCTTGCAGATGGAATATGCCTTTATTCTGGTCCATTCTGAATAGGGAATTAAAAGAAGAAAAAATCTTTGACAAGGTCTTTCAGGGTATCTTGAGCTCAATGGATACTTGATAGGAAAAGTCAAGTGGCATCATGATGGAGCAAATCACCCTCTTTGGAGGATGATCTCTTTGAATTTTCATGCCTAATCAGCTGATTTCTATTATAAGAATATTAAATATCAACCATATGCCAGGTACATCACATAAATTATCTCTAATTCTAAGAACAGGGTTTCAAGGCCTTAAATTCTTGTCATCTTCCATCTGCAAATGAGAAAACAGACCAATTCTAGTTGATACAGAAGTGGAGTAAGGACTTATCCAGGTTTGTAGAGCTCAGATCTCATGTTTTCCCCAGTGTTCCCCTTTGTCTCTTTTCTGTTGATGTTTCCCTTCCATGATTCTCCTATCTTTTGACTGATGCACTTCATTTCCATCTTATTTTTTTCTCTTCCATTCTCTAGTTATCTTCTTGCCATAGTTAAAACCTGGCTATTCCCCAAATACTTCCACATCTCTCAGTATTGCCCAACAGAAACCCACCTTAAATAGAGACAAGTAGATGTCAGCCTCCTGTTGCCCTCTTATGCCATTCTCTAATCAGTGATCACCTGCCACCAGCTTTTATTCTTTTAAAATCCATGAGAACAATGAACCATCCATAAAAGAAATCAAGAAAACAATTCCATTTACAATAGTTACAAAAACTACAGAGGAATAAAATTTAATAAAGGAGGTAAAAGATCCATATACTGAAAACTACAAAAACATTGATGAAAGAAACTGAACACAAATAAATGGAAAGTATCCTGTGTTCATGGATTGGAAGAATTAATATTGTTAAAATGTCTGTACTACCCAAAGTGGTTTACAGATTCAATGCACTCCCTATAAAAATTCCAATGAAATTATTCACAAAAATAGGAAAAAGAATCTTTAAATTTGTATAGAACCACAAAATACCCCAAATAGCCAAAGAAATCTTGAGCAAAACCAATAAAGATGGAGGCATCACACTACCTGATTTTAAACTATTTTACAAAGCTACAGTTATTAAAACAGCACAGTATTGGCATTAAAAACAGACACACATACTAATGGAACAGAATAGAAAGCCAAGAAATAAACATTTACAGTCGTTTGGTTTTCAACAAAGACTCCAAGAACACACGAAAAAGTCCTTCTGTAAATACTGTTGGGAAAACTGGATATTCATTCATATGCAGAAGAAGGAAACTAGAAGAAAGAAACTAGATTCTTATCTCACACCAAATACAAAAAATTAACTCATGGATTAAAGCCTTAGATATAAGTCCTGAAACTGTAAAACTACTAGAGGAAAATACAGGGGAAAAGTTCTATGGCATTGGTCTGGGCAATGATTTTTTAAAATATCATATTAAACCTCAAAAGCACTGGCAACAAAAGCAAAAATAGACAAATAGGAGTATATCAAACAAAAACTTCTTCCCAGTAAACAATCAATAGTGAAGAGACAAGTCATGAAATGAGATAAAATATTTGCAAACCATACATTAATAACAGGTCAATATCCAAAATACATAAGGAACTCCTACAATTTAGCCACACACACAAAAAAGAAAACCCAGACAAGAAAACAACCCACAAATAGCCTAATTTAAAAAATGAGCAAAGCCTAGAAAGTGGATTAGATAAAGAAAATGTTGTACATATACATGATGGAATATTATGCAGCCATAAAGAAGAACAAACTTATGGCCTTCACAGCAACATGATGCAGTTGGAGACCATCATACTAAGTGAACTATCACAGAAACATATAACTGAATACCACTTGTTCTTACTCATAAGCAGGCCTTGATCACTGGTCATGTGAGCACCAGGGTGGGATCAGCAGATGCTGGACACTGCTAGGGAAGGGAGAGAGGGAGGAGGAAGAGGAAAAAGTGACAACACATTGGGTACTTGATCCACTATCAGGGGAGAGATGGCCAGCTAGAAGCCCAAACTTCATCTGCATGCAGCTTACTTATGAAGTAAATCTTCACTTGTACCCACAACTCCAAGATTTTTTAAAAAATGGGCAAGGGACCCAAATAAACATTTTTCAGAAGAAGACACAGACATGGTCAAAAATATGACAAAAATGCTCAGTATTGCTAATCATCAGGGAAATGCAAATTAAAACCACAATGAGGTATCATCTCATTTCGGTTAGCATGGCTAATATTAAAAAGATGAAAGGTTACAAGTATTTGCAGGGGTGTGGAGAAAAATGAAATCTTGCGCACTGTTGGTGGGAATGTAAGTTAGTACAGCCATTATGGAAAACAGCATAGAAGTTCTTCAAAAAGTTAAAAATAGAACTACCATGTGATGCAGCAATCTCATTTCTAGGTATATAGTCAAAGGAAATGAAAACAGTATGTGGAAACAATCTGCACTCTGATGTTCATTGTGGCATTATTCACAGTAGCTAAGATGTGGAATCAACCTAAGTGTGTATCTATGGAAGAATGGATAAAGAAAATGTGGTATATACACACAATGGAATATTATTCAGCCCTTTAAAAGAAGAAAATCCTGCCACTTGTGACAATACACATGAATATGGAGGATATTATGCTAAATAAAATGAGTTGGGTGCTGAAGGACAAATACTACATGATTTCATCTATACATGGAATCCCAAAAGTGACAAATTCATAGAGAGTAGGATGGTGGTTACCAGGAGCTTGGTAGGGGGTAGGGAGAAGTTGGGTATATATGTTAGTCAAATGATACATATATTCAGTTATACAGAAGAAATAAATTCAAGAAATCTACTGTATAATATGGTGTCTATAATTAATAACAATGTAGTACATACTTGATAATTGCTAGAAAAGTGAATTTTAAGTGTTTTCACTTTTAAAATAAGTATGTGATGTAATGTATAAGTTAATTAGCTTAAGTCATTCCATGATGTGTGTATATATATATTTAAAACATCATGTTCTAGACCATAAATATATACAAGTTTTATTTGTCACTTAAAAAATGAGACATAAATTCATCATTGCTGTTGTCTCTTACTCCCATACTTATACCTTCCTGGGTGATGTCAGTACTTGTGTGTGTGTGTGTGTGTGTGTGTGTGTGTGTGTGTGTATACAAACATAAAAACACACAAAGATATTCCTTGTACAGTGATATCATCCAATACATATTAATAGTTTAGTCTCAAATTTCTCCAATTGTCTCAAAATGTCCTTTAGAGCTGTTTTTCTGTTTCGTTTTTGTTTTCTATTTTAGCAAAAATAGAAAACCAGGATCCTATCAAGGTTCATTCACTGCATTTGTCTGTTTTCTTTCTTTAATTTTCCTTAGTTTAGAAAGGTCTCCTCTTGGAGTTACCTTGTTCATCTTCATTTTATCAATATACTTTCCCTCTAGCAACCAGCTCTATAAATATAAGATCACATCTAACATACTGCTGTATCTACTCCTTCCTCAAATACCCAACATGGTGCTTTGTATAGGATGGCAACACTGAGTTAAGGTCATCAACTCTAGACTTAGAAAAACTTGTGGCTTTTTAAGCTTTTGATTCCATCACTCATTATGTAAGTGCCTATTTGCAGTCACTAAATTTTGCAGACTTAGCCTCCTCATCTATAAAATGGGGCAATAGTAGTATCTGCCTCGCATGGCTGCTGTGAGGATTAAATGAAAAAATAGAATCATGCCTGGCACAAAGTTGACTCTAAACCAATGCTAGCTGCTAGCATTCTCATTCTACTGGATACTCAAGATACATCCATAGACATCACTGGAACACCAGGCAGTATTTCAGGGACATAAGCATACACATACCACATGTGTGTGTGCCAGTGGGTGAAAGAAGGATATACTGGAGTGTTAAAATGGGAGACAGGTAAGTATGTGAAAAGTAAGTGGGAAGGAGGTGAAAAACCTTGGATTTTAGTTCACTAAGTTAATGTGTGACTTTGAGTAAATCACTTAATCTTTCTGGAACTTGGTGTTCTTCTGTATGGAGTTCTGTGGTTAGAATAGAACATCTCTAAGCTCCAACCTGTTACAGTTCTTAAACCCAAGATGGAAGACCGCATCTTTTGGAGACATGGAGTAAAAAATGATAGCTCATGTAGATTCTGGAAAAGCAAATAAAGATAATGGCCACCATTTATAGAACACCTCTCCTATGTCACATCTAGTGTCAAGTACTCTATCATTTCATTCAATCTCTATAACAACATGGTGAAGCAGTTATTAGTAAATGCTTCTGAAGGTGTGGAAATGAGGCTTAATGAGGTTGAGTAATGTGAGCAAGGTCACTCAGCTATTAACGCGGCAGGATCAGGATTCAAATTTAAAACTGGCTGACTCTAAAACCTCCTCAGGTTGCACTGTAAAAGAGATGGCTGAGTTGGTCTGAGGCCCTAGGCTGACAGGAGGTTCACTTAGGGTTTTGGATAAATAGCTTTTTGTTGCCAACCACTACTCTCATTTCTCATATACCATGTTTCCATTTTACTATGTACCCTGATCTCAAAACTGCACAAATTTTTGGGGGGGAAGAAAAAAATTCCCCAAAGTAGTATGTGATTTACAAAATAAGTTACTTAATATCACAAAGTCAGTGGCAAGGTGAGAAATAAAATCCAAAATATGTAATTTTCTATAAATCTTTCAAATATTTTTGAGTCTGATATCATTGATTCTGAGAAATTACAAGCATAATTAAGAAACCAATAAGTGATTAAAGTTGGATTTGTAAGAGCTTGAACATGTTTTATTTTATTTTATTTTAATTAATTTATTTTTTTGAGTTGAAGTCTCACTCTGTTGCCCAGACAGGAGTGCAGTGGCACGCTCCCGGCCACCGCAGCCTCGACCTGCTGGGCTCCAGCAATCCTTCCGCTCAGCCTTCCAAGTAGCTGGAACTACAGGCACATGCTACCACACCCGGCTAATTTTTTGATTTATTGTAGAGATGAGGTCTCACCAAGTTGCCCAGGCGGGTCTCGAACACTCGGGCTCAGGCAATCCACTCACCTCAGCCTCCCAAAGCATGGGATCACAGGCTGAGCCACCGAGCCCGACTAGTATATTGCTTATAATTAGGATGACCATATAATTTATCATCCAAACTGAGGTACTTTTAAAAGGAGGTGTTGATAATTATATCAAGAAAACAAGTAAACACTTGAGTTTTTGCTAGGAAAACTGAGATGTTTGATTACCTTACCATAATACTAATACTTTTACTTTATACAATGTATTACTCAAAAATTCGATATTCAGTAAAAACGCTTTGTCGTTTGTCTATACATAAAATGAAATTGCCTAAGAAAGTAATTGTAAGTATAAAATTGCAAATGCTGTACTTTAAAGTATAGTTTATTACCTTTCATTAGCCTTAAAACATTGATTCTGGAGTTCTCGTCGTGGTCTTCGTTCTCTTAAACTAGGATTGCTATGTTCTTTTAGTCCAGAATAACCGGGCAAAAATTCCTTATAATAGAAATCTTCCAAATCTAATAATTTTCCCTGACTGTAAATGAACACATAAACATATCATAACATCAGCCTAATTTTCTACCAAACTTACAGAATACTCGTTTTCTTCTTTAAAAGTATTAACTATAATTTGGGAGTAATATATACATGTCAATAGAAATAGTAAGAATTTTGAAATGTGCAAAAACTGTATATACCATAAATTAAAAAGAAAAATCTTCAACTCTTACCTTGAAAAGAGTATTAGCTACTAGAGAAGGTTTTCCTGGTTCTGTCACATTTAATTTGGCACCAACTTAGTAGTTACTAGATTAGCCAGTGATTATATATTCCAGTTTGTCTAGTCAAAATCAGAGTTCCCAACTGACTCTTGGGCCATTATTAGAAAAGCTGACCTTTGTGTAGCAGCACGCAGTATTTCAAATTTTATCAGCCACAGGTACATTGATATGCAAAAACATTCATGATCTTAAATTACTTCTTTCTTTTGTCTTTTCACTACCCATTGGTCTTTAAGGAATTAATTTCTGTGCTAGATTTTAACACCTGCATACATGACATACATACAAAGGTATGTCCTCAACCATTTGAATTCTTGGATCTACTCCGGTCACAGTCTGGTTCCTGTGATGCTCAGTATCTGTAGTCTGAGAGGATTTCATATTAGGTAAAAAGGTAGGTCTGGAAAACCACAAGGTGTTATAGTGCTTCTAAGAAAACATGTTTTTTAAGTTATAGATTCCACTTATAAATGAACTTTCAGAATGCCACCGATTTATAAATTAGAAACTCTGTGTTTACTCATGCTTTGTGAAACTCACTTGTTCTTAGCATTGTCTGGAAATTAGTTGACACGAATATTGATGAAAATAATGGTAAAATATTAAAATTGTATATCAATGGACTGAAATATTGTGGAAAAGGAGGATAATATGAATTTAAATTTTCCACTTCAGGAGGCACAAACCTTATCTTCTTAACAAATCCATAAAAATTATAAGAAGCGAGATTTAGCATGTTTTGAAAGGCAAAAAACAAAAAGAAATTTGAGGAAAGAAAGGTTATGGATATGGGCATGTTCAAATTGTTCAATTAAAACCATTCTATGAAAAAAAAAACATTCCATGGGTCAAGAAAAGCTATTTATACATGGGGACAGTACAATTCATTCAAAACATATTTGAGTTCTTAATGCATACCTCATATTGTACTGGCTCAATATGTTTCCAATAGGCAAGCTCTTATAAATTATATACGAACCACGTATTTATAATATAAACATTACTTTCCAAATCTATGTATATAAAATTGGTGATTTTTAATTGTAATGTGAACACATTACAAATTACATTTAATGGGTTTATATTTTTGTTTAAATATGCTGATTTTTATTTTATTTTATGCTATTTTATTTTTTGGACTCAGGGTCTCACTCTGTCACCCAGGCTGGAGTGCAGTGGCATGCATGACAACCGCTCACCACAGCCTCAACCTCCCGAGCTCAGCTGATCCTTTCACCTCAGGCTACTGAGTAGCTGAGACACAGCCGTGCCACCGTATCTGGCTTATTTTTCTGACTTTTTGTAGAGGGTCTCGCTCTGTTGCCTAGGCTGGTCTCAAACTCCTGGGCTCAAGTAACTCTCTTGCCTTGGCCTCCCAAAGTGCTGGGATTATAGGTACGAGCCATCATGCCCGGCCCATAAGACGACTTATTGAAATCTAGAAATAATACTTACCTGTCTTTCCTTGGTCTTCGTTTTTCTTCTTGGATTGATTTCTAAAGGGAATAGAATTATTCAAAAGATCTATATAACATTATAATCTTAATACAATGTAATTGGTATATTACTATAATCTTAATATATAAATACATTTTTCCTATAAAGCTAAGCTAGAAATAAACTAGTGACTACAATACTTTAAAAATCTACATAAGTATAATTTACCAAAATTTTATTGATTATACATTTCTGATTTTGTTACCAATTCTGAACTGAAATGAAACTTGGCATTCCATATGAAAAAAATATTTACCACACAGTGATCAGCATAGACAAGGTTACATAAGGTCTATTTACTATAAGTGGAAGCAAATTGTAAAATTTCTGGGAAGCCCATTTCTTTACCACAAATGCAGTTGTGATTTAAGCAGTTTAATTAGGCTGCTTTGATTCTTGTTTATATGTCATCCTCGTTTTCAGGTGAAGCAGGTGTGTGGATATGAAAGGCAAGGGCAAAAGTCAACAAAAAGATTAGAAATATGGCTTTCTAAACACTCAGGAATCCATTTATGGCATAAACATGGCAGCACAGACTATATGTATTTTCATTTGTACACTTTCATAGTTTAGAACTTTATCAAGGCACAAATTAGGATATTTAAGTATGGAAATAGATATATTTTAATCAATACTTCAGTTTGAAGACTAACAAGACAATACTTCATTTTACCATACATACAAAGCAATATTATCGTTTGCACTGTAGAATTAGTAATATGTTTCTTTGTGTGGTACCTCAATACATTTGAGCTCATACATTTACATGTTATTAGAGCAATAATAAGTCCTTTAGGTTGAGAAAACAGATACCACACTCACCTTGAACAAGTTGAAGGGAGATGTTATAATTGTGGAAATTTTATTACAGGTGTCAAGTCGACTGGCACCATACAAGTGCAAGACAACAAAAATAGCAATTAATAATGGTTTGCATATATTGAGGGATTTCTCTGGTATATTTAGAGACACAGTAAATCAGGTTTTCTCATATTTATTATTTGTAATACTCTAAAATGATGAATGAGTCAAACAGTTCATAGTTTCTTTTATTTTTATTGGTTTATTTTTGTTGGTATTTTAGTAGGTGGATGAGGGAAAAGGAAGTGTTTGAATGCATCATGTCTGGGATGAGACCATTCAGGAAATAACAATGTAAGGAGCAGGATTTCAATTACTTTCCTGTCCTCCTTTCCATTTCTTATTACTTCACATTCTCGATCTAATGCCCTAGACTAAAAGGTGCTTACAAATAATTATATTACCAGCATAGGCAGAGTGGTCACTAGCAGTTCAGTTAATGATTGCTGGGACCAGTGTGGTGTTTGCTGTGTTGGTGGTGGTTGTTTTAATGTGACATCAGCAGTAGTTTCCTACAGAGGTCCTGCCTCCTGGATCCACTGCTTAAAAAAAAGTCCCTTTTGTTTTTGGTAGCAATTGTCTATAGTCCAAATTTATGCTTAAATTGTGGCACTATGTCCAGTGACAGAAATTCCCTTTTTACAACCAAGAATTAAATATTGTTCTGTCCTTGAATTCTCAAGCTGGTCAGAACTCCGACTTATATTCGATCAACACTTCCTTCTGGAAGATGGTGTATATAAGTTGGTTCTTAGTTATGGGAATTCCTAGAAGAGGAACACTGTCTAGATTTATTTCATTCTTGCCTGTGCTAGAATACAATAAAAGGTTATTCTATGCCATATTTTTCCACACGTTATTTAAGATAGCTTGTATTAGAAGTAGTTATACAACCAAAGTAATAATGCAGAAGTTTTAAATGAGAAACAAAGGAAGCAAAAGAAGCAGGTGTGTTAAGATGGAGCCTTTTGCTCGTCTGGTAGTTTCCTAGCAGCTGGGGCTAAAAGGGAAGCACGATACTAACCCCATGTCCTTCATCATGAAAAAGGAAGCATATTAAATCCTCAAGGTTGAGGATTTAATAAGCATTTTTTCACACAGGGCTTTTTATATTAGGGGCGTTTATTGCTAAGATGGACAATGTTTTCAATTACAGTTTGGAAATTGCAAATTAAAAACTAGAAATTTGAATAAAAATAAAGATGCGACTGTCCTATGGAAGTTTCTTGTAGAACTAGAGTGAAGAAGAGATAGAAAGAGGAGGAGACAAAGATGACTCAGTGAGATTTTCCTAGTGGGGGTATTTCTTGAGGAGGTCTTTGAAAGCACAGAGGTTGTAGCTCAGAGAACTATGAAGAACCTGTTTCTTTTTTTTTTTTTTTTTGAGTTGGAGTCTCACTTTGTCACCCAGACTGGAGTGCAGTGGCCACTTCCAGCCACTGCAGCCTTGACCTGCTGGGCTCCGGTGATCCTTCCGCTTCAGCCTTCCAAGTAGCTGGAACTACAGGCGCACACTACCACACCCAGCTAATTTTTTTTTTTTAAATTTATTGTAGAGATGAGTTCTCGCCAAGTTGCCCAGGCGGGTCTTGAACCCGCAGGCTCAGGCAATCCACTCACCGCAGCCTCCCAAAGCACGGGATTACAGGTTGAGCCACCGAGCCTGGCTAAGAACCCATTTCTTAACCAGGTACATCACGCGTCCACCTCCAACCACATCTTACAAGAAGAAATATGATTTATGACAAGACTTTAAAGTTCATATCCATTACATCTTGGTGAACACAATCTTACTTTCTTTACACTAGCACTCTATTTATTTATAAAAATTCACAAGGATGAGGAAGGAGCCAAAACATAAAAATAAAAGAATAAGACTTTGGAGTGACCAAATTAGCTACTGCTTTAGTCTAGAAAACCATGATAAAATTGGAAGGGACCTCTGGTAGGATTATGTTCAATTACTCATTTTTTGAGGACACTGTTGGTCCTGAGTCATTTTTGTTGATAGGCACACAGCTTCCGACTGTTGACCCAGGCAGCACAGGGCGTGCGTGCTCAGTTAATGCTCTCCTCCACCGGCACGCTTCTGAGATATGGCAAACTCTTATTTTAGACACAATATTTCCTGGATATAGGAGATGAAAGACATCAAATCTTAAGAGAGAGCCAGAAAGATCACCATAAGAACTGACATCCAAGGAGAAACAAAAACTATAAAAATAGGCAAAACTACTGAAAACACATGTTTGTGTTGGGCAAGAGTGAAAGAAAGAATTTTCCGCAGCCAGCAGCCCCTGAGAGTACTGTACTACGGTAGTTCATTATTTAACAAATAGTCTTCTAGTTACTATGTTGAGCACAGTTCCAAAGACTGTGGCTATAACACTGAGCAAGAGTCCTGTCTTCACAGACCTTATGGCCTCCAGAGTGAGTCAGACAGAAGACAAGAGATATCTATAAATGCTCTGAAGAAAAATGAAGCAGGTTGGGGATACAGAGAGATGGGGTGCATTCTTAGACAGGTCAGAGAACCTCTCTGATAACACAGATCTGATAAAGTACAAACAATCTGAATAGTGCTGCAGTAAAACTTAACAGTAACATATTGAATATTTAAAATAACTAAAAGAGTGGAATTGGAATGTTCCTAACACAAAGAAATGATAAATGCTTGAAATGATGAATACCCCAATTACCCTGATTTGATAATTACACATTGTATGTCTGTATCAAAATATCACATGCTCCCAGAAATATGTACAACTATTATATAGCTTTACTCATTACAAATTAAAAATAAAAGCATAAACATATTTGCTCACTACAGTGATCTTGGGTCACCAAGAAAAGGTTTAAAGTGTTCAGTATGATTTAGAGAGATTTTTGTGAAAACCATTTAAAAGTAGAGAAAGTGCTTGGTGGTTAAAAGGAGTGGGGCCCCATTACAGCTATAAATTTCACTCATGGGCAACACCCCAACTGCTGAGAGGAGTCAGATGAATATGAATATGAATAAATGTTTTCACTTATAATAATATGCTAGTTTTCTGTGTTTTCTTTGAAACCAGAGATTTCAAGGCTCAGAGTTATAAAAAAGAATCCTGGTCACTCATAATTTAAAATGTATTAAAACACTTTATATTCATTTAAAAATAATAGTACAAAGACAAAATAAGTTTCTTGGGGGCAAGGACTCATTTATGAGGCTCAGAATCTGTTCCATAATTCTCTGACTGGTTGTTTGTTAGTAGTAAGCATTTCACCTCATTTCAAGTCTTTTACAATTTCTCATATTGCGAATGGTATCTATTGGTAAAGCCATCACAATCAATTGTCATTTTAGTTGCACTTAATAAAGTTCATTGAGCATGATTTGCTACTTAAATTCAGAATTAATAGGCAATGTTTGGTAATTTCTAATCTTGTTCTCTGCTGTTCTACATAAGCAAATGTCAGGCTATTTGTTTTTTCTTCTTCTTTTTTCTGAGCAGTGTAGAAAAAAAAAATCAAAATCCATATTTTGTATTTTGTATGAAGTATCTGTCAAATGCAGGTATCCGGGAATTTTCTCCATTTACTCGTGATTGTATTTCACTCCTCTATTTCACTGCATCCATTCTCACAACAAATATTTATTGCATACCTGCTAAGTGTTAGGCTAAATGCAGCAGGCTAACTCCTTGACCTCCTAGAAGCCACATCAATCCTTCTCTGGCATTATAAAATGTTATGATAGGGAAATATCTGTTGCTCAGGGAGAATGTAGGAAGGGTTCCTTTAGGATTTGGGAGTGTTGGTAAGGCTTCCTGAAAAAAAAACTAAACTGAAAGTGCTTTAGTCATGAAATGAGAAGATAAAGAGAAAGTGTGTTCTACGTTGAGAAAAGAGCATATTCAAGGACAAATGTCTGCAGACAATTTGAGGAAGAGAAAGCAAATTAGTGAGACATAGGGGCTAGAGTATAGAGTTTGAGAGGGTGAATAAATAAATATTTATTTATTTAATTGAGATGAGAAAAGTAAACAAGGTCCAGATTTTGACAGGTCTTTGTATTCTTGGGATAATGGAAAGTAACTAAAAAGTTTTGTATTATGGGAGGTAGTTTGATCAGATATTAACTTTAGAAACTCTGGCTACAGTGTAAAAGATGTACATTTAAGTGGGTAAATTGTATATCATATGACCTTTATTTCAACAAATGTGTGTGAGTGTGTGTACCCTTGTACAGATGTGTGTGTCTGTCTATCTATCTATCTATCTATCTATCTATCGCTATATATGGATGCTTTTGTTCATCCATGTAGAATATGTAAAACAAACATCGGGCAGTTTGACATTTGAGTCTGGAGCTAGAGAGAGATCTAAGCCAGAGATAAAGATTCAGAAATCAGTAGTAATAGAGGTCATAGTAGCTGATGGCATTGTCCAAAGGAAATGAGAGAGGAAGAGAATGTAAGATTGAAACCTGGGCATCACTAAGAGGGAGAAAAATCATCTGTGGAAACTGAAGATGAATTACTGGAGTGAATGGAAAGGACTAGAAGAGACTGGCTACTTGGAAGTCAAATGTGAGCATCATTTTCTGCCTAAGAGGTGGGAAACTTATTTCTAATTAATTCTCTGGGTTTTAACACATCCTCTGGGTTCTTCAGTACAAGGAGAAGTCCTGTTCTCTCACAGTGATAGAGGGAAGTGGAAGAATGAATAAGTATTGGAAAAGCAGGGACTGGTGGGTGCAAAGGCCTTGGGAACATGAGACAATGCCACTCACTGGTGAAGCATCAAGCAGTTTGCTATGGCTAGAGGCCCGGGAATGAGGCTGGAGAACAGTGCCTGGTCCAATGAGGAAGGCCTGGGAAGGAATTTGGACTTTATGCTGAAGGAGTTGCTGAGCCACTTAAAGGACTTTCAAGGGAGGGGTAGGATGAAATTTATAGTTTAGAGGAATTTTCTGGTGTATGCTGGAGAGGATGTATTAGAAGTGGTTGCAGGGGGCCTCAAATATTCCAAACTATGAGATGATGATGGTCTGAAATAGGGGAGTTGCTAAATGAGGTTAGAGAGCAGGGAGATGAATTGGAATAACTTTCGCTATCAGTTTAGCATTTAGAGTCACAGTTTAGAGCAGCTGATGAGATATCAGGTACGAGAGAGAGGGCAAGATTCAGGGAGACTCCCAGGTTCTTGGTTTAGGAAACCAAGTGGATGATAGTGGCATTCATGGAGAACAGGAATATGAGGGGAAGGGCAGGCTAGCAGGGGTAATGCCAATGAGTTCTCATGCTGCAAAATGTGAGTGAGCAGAAGCTGTGGAGTCAGAAGATCTTAATACAATTTAATCACCCTGACAGCTTATCTGTGTCTCTGAATCCTGATTTGTCAGATGTGGATACCACGTGAAGGGCCATTCCTAGGATTAAATATAACAAAGGATATGAACTCACTTTAGATCTGGAATTTAAAAGATGCTCAATAAATGTCTATTCCTCCTTTCCTATTCTTTCTTCTACTTTCACCAGAACCCATCCATTTACACTAAGAGAGCTCCTGCTATGATTTATTTCTTTTTCTGGGTTTATATTTTCCTATTAACTTAAATTAATGGACCAGTTAAAAAAGCTGCTTGGAGGACATGGTAGGGAGAGTCTTGGGGCATGAAAAATAAGGGCTGAAGGAGAGCAAAGTGCCCAGTTACCCAGCCAGGGGAGGTATAGTGAATAGGGAGCCAAGGGCTATCTCCATTATGCTGGACTTTCTACTGTGACTGGCCTAAGGAAGCCCGTTTTCACACTGGCCTTTAGTGGATGCCATGGCTCCCATCTGATAGTAAGAGTGAGCCACTTACATGTAGTAGATAATAGTATGTGGAGTCTTCAGGGTTATTTAATGTTTTGGGTTTCCGGGGTCGTCTTGGGGGTCTCAATATTTTTGGCTCTTCTCCTTTAGAGATACCTATAAGAAAGATATTTATAAACACGTGTTCAATTAAAAAGGTTCTTATCAAACAATGTTTTCCTTTTGGGGTAAATAAAAAATTATATACATACAACTGAGGCTAACTCTGGGAGAAAGAGGAAATACTTTTGTTCCCCCAACCAGCCCTTCTCATATTCCTCACCACACACTTCCCTCCAATTGTCTGGTGGTTTAAGACTTTGAAAGTACAGGGAAGAAACGAAAACAAATGCTTAGTATGGTCATGTGGAACAGGGTAAAATAGTTCAGAGACTGGATGGGGTGAGGAGCCAAAACTGCTAGAAATTTTTTTTTTAACAATTAGTATGTTCATAGAATCTCTACTATCCCTTCCCTTACCCTTCCACCAGATACATGTGGTGATCCATCCAACCAAGCACTATATTATCTTCCTTTTCTCCTCCTAAGTGAAAGATCTCTACAAAAAGAACTACAAACCACTGCTGAAAGAAATCAAAAATGACACAAACAAATGGAAAAACATTCCATGTTCATGGATTGGAAGAATCAATATTGTTGAAATGTCCATACTGCCCAAAGCAATCTACAGATTCAATGTAATCTCTTATCAAATTAACAGCATAATTTTTTTACATAACTAGAAAAAAGTAATTGTAAAATTTATTTGGAACCAAAAAAGAGCCCAAATAGCCAAAGCAATCTTAAGCAAAAAGAACCAAGCTGGAGGCATCACATTATCCAACTTCAAACTTTACTACAAATCTACAGTAACCAAAACAGGATAGCACTGGTACAGACTAGAAATATAGATCAATGGAACAGAATAGAGAACTCAGAAATAAAGCTGGTTTCCTACAACCAACTAATCTTTGATAAGGTTAACAAAAATAAACAATGGAGAAAGGATGCCCTATTCAACAAATGGTGCTGGAAAAACGGGCTAACCATATGTAGAAAAATGAAGCTGGACGCCTCTTACTCAACTCAACTTAATTAAAAATGGATTAAAGACTTAAATGTAAGACTTCAATCTACAAAATTTCTAGAAGAAAACTTAGGAAGCACTCTTCTGGACATCGGTCTAGGCAACTAATTTATAATTAAGTCCTCATATGCAAATGCAGCAAAAACAAAAATGGACAATTGGGACCTAAAGAGCTTCTTCAGAGCTAAAGAAACAATTAACAGAGTAAACAGACAACCTACAGAATAGGAGAAAATATTTGCAAAGTTTACATCTGACAAATGTACAAGGAATCTACAAGGAACTTAAACAAATCAACAAGAAAAATAACAACAACAACAACAACAACAAATCACCCTATTAAAAACTGGGCAAGCCGGGCTCAGTGGCTCAGCCTGTAATCCCGCGCCTTTGGGAGGCTGAGGTAAGTGGATTGCCTGAGCCCGTGGGTTTGAGA